TTTCAGGACTTGTTGTCATACCAATCGATTTGATCATTTTCCATAGTTATCACAGTAATCAGTGACAGCACAGAATATAAAGTTGGAGTGCAGCTTTAATACAACACAATAAATCAAAGAAAGCTAAGAGAGAACTCTGTGTGTCGAGAGTATTGGCGGAAAATGGGTCAAATATAGGGTTATATACCCTAGTCAAAATTTCATATGAAAAGTGTATAGTTTATAATACTATTACAAAAATATTACATGAATCAAATTTGATTGATAGATTTCTGGTTTGCTGTCTGATTTAAGGTCACCTATTCACCATGGTTACTCAGTAAATGTAATTTAAATCTGATAAGGGGTCTCACATTAGAAATCATTGAGCGTTGGGGGGGGGGTGAACAATTTGTTTTTTGCCTTGTCTGATTTTTTCCTGAATGTGACAATACGTTTCCACTGCAACACCTTGCACCATTAAAATCTGTTCAAGATTGGTAAGCAATTTACTTAGGTAATACTACTTTTTGGATTGTTGCTATTGTTCTAACAGTCCACTGATAGTTGAAGTATGGCTACAAAGATGCAAACGATAGTAAACGTCCAGATATTTACTAGAACCTCAACCCTATACGGGATGTCAACTACCATCAGCATTCTTGTACTTTACAAATAAATTTGTCGAAAAAAGCAGTGATCAAACAAATGGATGTGAATACATATTGCCTTTGCTTCAAATGACTTTGGAAAATTCCCTGCAACCCGAATTTTTCAGATAACAGATTGGTTAAAAATACCAGTAAAGCAATCACTAGTGACAGATATTCAAAAAAACACTGACATCTGAAAACATTTATACGAGATTCTACAAGTTTATTGGATGATATTATAATAGAACAGTTACAATGATACTTGATGATATCTGATGATGATGAATATTTTAGGTATAAACAAATAAACTCTTGTGAAAACATGATAATGAAGTCGCCCAATTATTAAACAAAGCCACAATAAAAACTGAAAATCTAAGTACACATCGGCTTGTGATCAACAGGAAAACAAAAATAACGCAGACATCCAACTCAAAAAAAAAAAAATCTAGAATAAAAGATTGATAAATTTGCATCAAATTACATCTACAAAATAATCTTTTTTTTGAATTAGAAAAAAGGTATAGGTTCTGACATACAGTGCGAAGCAAAAAAACAAATGTCATATTTTTAGAATATAAATTATAATTGCTTTATTATACAACTCAAGTGAGTGTGTGGTCCAAAAAAGTTCTTGTAAAAAAAAAAAAAAAAATAGTGGGTACTGCTATTATATGCATGATTGAAACAATGACTTACTTATGAAGACGGAGGAAACGACACAAGAATGAAGGCACAGTCAAATATCAAAGCACAAGATATATACATGTATAACCCACATTTATGTTAACGATGTGGACAGAATTATCCCAAACGCAGAGTCCAAGTCGGAAGTAAATGCAACTACATTAAGAATCTAAGTACTGATTACACTACACGTGGCAAAAAATTGATGGCTTTAAAACTCTGGTAAACAAAACTAGCCAGCTGAAATTCAAAATAAAGCTTTTCATTTGACCCAAAGAAAAATAATGCCACAAAACGACTGTAAATTTGAATACTATCTAAGTTTGATAATGGCAAAAAAAAAAAAAAAGTTTCACTCAATGTTTTTATTTTATTTTAATAATATATTCATGTTACGGTAATCTGGTTCAGAACTTCCACATGGCATAAAAGTACATCAAAAAAAACATCACATCCAATATCAATCAGTTTAAATACATTGATCAATCAAAAACAACATTTTATTTTATATTTTTTTTGTACAGAAGTATTACAAACCAATCCCCAGACATGTTTAGGCGAGCTGTTTTTTGTTACAACTGCCCACGCACGCTGGGGAAATAGAAACTACATTGTCAAAAAAACGCGTCGGATGTTACAGTACACAACACGAATTGTTATGAGATAGAAAGCGTCTCATGACAGTGCTCCAAACGACATGAAGTGAGAGACTGCCATTTAGGATTAAATAAACTATACTGTAATAGTGAATCTTGATGTCTTTGGGGGCGGGAAATATTCTACCTAGATTAATTTGCTGTTGCTATCTTTATAATATCTTCTAACTAGTTATGCGATAGAGAATATCCTATATTCAGAGCCATCCCCCCAACCCCCACTGTATAATTAATGGCAGAAGTGCAACAAACATTTAGACACTAAAACTAATACATATATCAATTGATGTTTTATGCAGTTTTCTTCTTTAACCAAGGTACTTTGGCTTGAACCCTATCAAAAACAAAACAAAAAATAATTAATACAATTGTCAATTGGAATAAAATTGGAATAAAAGCTCTGCGCCATGGAGTGCATTAGCAAAAACATAAAGAAACCTTACAAGCTGAAGACAGTTAAATTAATATGGGCACCATCCACCAGGTCTTGTGTTATGTAAATATTCTTATGAATATTAAACAACCTAAACCTCACATAGAACACAAGTCATTAACATTGATCTCTGCAATATTAAAATTGGTACTCCATTTTTCAAAAATCAAAAAAAAACAACCTCACAAATATCAGCTTGAATTCTGATGTGTCTGTATCGGGGTTATTCCAGGGTCTTGCAGTAGGACTCAGTCATCCATCAAACAATATGCACAGGAATTTCCCAAGGAATTAACTTACTTGTTCATGATCTCCTTGACTTGTTGGTTAACAAGGTCAATGTAGTTATCAATCTTTTCCTGTAGGGAGAAATGCCAGACGTTGGATACTGAACACAATAATTATACACATGTGACAAACACACTTTGCAGATATCCTCATAATCTCGGCCACAGACACTAAATTGGCAATCATTATTGCCAACCTTTTATCTCTAAACAAAGAAACATACCATGCCTTTCTGCTAAGGCGATACAGACAGTGTCTGTCAATTCAGCATATGAAATACGGTAACTAGTAGCCTGTCTTACCTGATGCAACTCGTATACTTTGGGAATGGTGAAGAGACCGATGAAACCTGAAAATTAATTAAACAAGAATTGAGACTTGATTATATATACATGTAATACACTACTAGTTTTCAGTGTGCAATGCACATTACTGTAAAATCTGTATTAGCAGCAACTTCTAGTAAAATGATACGATGCAACAGAGGGGAGTGGCTTTTATTAGAGAATCTACACATACAAGAGAAATAGTGAATTTATGTCTCAATAGTTTTAAAAGGTAGTTGCAACTACTTATTAAAGATGCAGATCTTGTAAATACAGATTTTACGGTACTACAATATATTTTAAAATTTGATATCCACAGTTGGATACAATATCAAGCCCTTTTCACTCGTTTTCCACAACTTGTACATGTAACAGAATAAAGGCCATCACTGATGGCACATCCCTCATTGTTTACAAAGAGCGTGTTTCTGTTTCAATTGGAGGATTACGGTATACCAGCTACAGTAACACGCATAAGAATAGGGAGTTGGTAGGGGCTACCATAGGTTAAAAAGTTATCAAATCAATTCAACTGATTTAATGCAATTTACAAATCTTGTTTTCACCAAAATAGTATGACCCCCCCCCCCACCTACCTACCAAGTTTCAAGATGGTAAGTGTTGAATTACATTTTGAGAAGAACAAGTACAAAGTTTTCATCACTCTTAATATATGCACATCAATCCACCAGAACTGTAAGACCATCTTTCATACAAGCATTCCAAGATGACAAGTGTTGAATTAAAATTATGAACAATAATTTATTATAATAATTTAGTAACGTATGCAAATGTCCATGTTATCTTAACCAGAAGTTTCAAGATGTGTTGAATTTGAAAACAAAATTGAGTACATTTTCACCATTCTTAATCTATGCAAATGAGCATGCAATTAACATCAAATTTATCAATGATTTTTTTTTTTTTAAATTGTTTTTTTTTTTTGTGCCAGGCGACAGTTGTCTCCCCTGACTGTACAAATTGCAAGTGCTAGTGCTGATGCTGATCAATGTTGAGTTTTTTTTTAGTTACGACTTTGTGAAGATGGACGCTGGTAACCTCTATATCGCCCACCAGCACTACCGTATGTTCAAGGGGATAAACACATGCTTCCAAAGGAAAGACGCGCCTCTTCCCTGTAACAGCATAGTACAGCATACTGTTTACACACAATGGGTACTCACCCAGGATAAGTAACGTTAAACCGTTGAACCATGCTCCGATGTAGGTCATCAGCCACAACATAACGGCAAACTAAAAGATTAAAAAAAAAAAAAATTGTTTTTAGTTTATGCTCTGATCTAATTGTCAAATGGTTCAGGCATTTGGTTGGCTTTAAGTCAGTCATCCAAAGTTGCACATGGCTTTAGGGAAAGTAATGTCATTTAACAGGTTCACAATACTGTAGCTGCTCTATTAGTAGGCATTACACTTGCGTAAATCACAGAGGTGTGACTATTGTCAAAATGAGTAATATTTTAATGTTTTTAGTATACAACAAATGTGATTCAGATTTATATGCGTTTCTATTGGAGCAAATACAGTAACCTCCAATTTTCACTGGTACTTCATGAAAGTGACAGATATATGGAAACTGCATCACTTGTATGGTTTGGGAAAAAAAACACATTGACGCTCACCTTGATAGAATCCACTAGATCTTCAACCAGGAAAAGACGGCGTAACTCAACTTGGAGACAGTTGAGCTTCTCAACGGCATTGTCGACTACCTTGTCAACTTTATCTCTTGGCAGTTCAACATCAACATCCAAGAAAGGTCTACAATTAAAGCAAAGTAGAAACATGGTAAGGTTCCTAAAGCACTAGATTTACACGACACAATGGTGGTGATAAAAATGAATTAATTAGTCACTGGGTTTTAATTTTTTGTTATTTTGCAGTTGGGTAAAATCTACTTTAAGATCGATGGTTACCAAACTGAATAAACTGGCTTAAATATCTAACTGAATGGAGAAGACAACAGTACGCATTGTTCATAGTAATCATGAAGGATAAGAATAAGTAAACACAAGCGAGAATCTGATAAAACTAATATTAGTATTAGTATTTGAAGAAAAAACTAACCACTGTCTATCCTTCCTAGTAACATTACATCTTTATGCCTCTGATTTTCTGAGTTACTTATTATCTCCACAATCTTTCATATACATGACACATTGTAGGTTTCATTCCATCTTTTCATGTGTGATTATTTAATTTTGTACGACAACCCCCAGTGAAACAAGTACACATTTTATGTTTCTTAGCGTACAAAGTGAATACATAATTGCAAATCAAAGTATTACGTCAGAATTATAACCCTATCAGGTACCGTAAGTGCATAACCCATTGCGTTAGTAGTACAGTCAAACCTGTGTTAACGACCACCTGCTCATAGCGACCACCTTAGTACAGTCCCTTCGCAGTTTACACGTTAAAGACACTGGATATAGCGACCACCTGTCCAACGCGACCAACAACCACCCTATTGTAGACCAATTCACACTTTAACCTTTGTATAACGACCACCAACATTTCCATCGGACAGTCTCAGCAAAAATAGAATAGCTACTTGGGAATCGCTAACAGGAAAGTGGCCATGTGTTACGTTAAGATTACCGAGTACGCAATCTTTAGGGCTGATAGGAGTGACCATCGCAACTTGGTTTGTGAAGTTGCGAAAAAATAAAACAAGCAGCCTGTCGGCTGAGATAGCTTCGCTGTTAGCAATGCACATGGCAATTAAAGAACAGAAGATATTA